AAAAAAAAAAAAAAAAAAAAAAAATCTTTCAACGACCCTAAACCAATCCACTTGGAATTTCTATTGCATCGCGCAATGTAATACATACGCCTTGTACGACTTCCCACAGACCCCCCATAGACACCCTGCTACTCTTCGACCCGAGGAACAACCCCTCTGCCCCCGGTCCATTTGACTGAGACATATTTCACACGAAACGACTGCCATTCGTTCGCTGCTCGGATTTCGTCGTCGCAAAGTAAATAGCTATTTACCGTTCTTGCTTCTCCGTCTTTCAGAGGCCGAAAACGGCGCCATCGAGTACGATATCAATCACCAGAGACGAAGCACCAGGACAGAGAACGAGGTCGAGGAACATACCCCGACTGTGCTGGTAGCGTCGACAGGGAACCAGACCGAGGGTGGCAGCGACCAGGATGACCGATATCCTAAAAAGGAAACGACCGCCGCAACGGAAATCCTCGTCCGGGAGATTTCGCCAGGGAAAAACACATCGGGCGACGGATACGCCAATGTGGATTCATCCGAGCGAGAGGAGAGGCTCTCCGAGGACCCGCTGGCGATCCCAGCCGGGAAGAGAGTCCCCGCCGACCTGGAGGAGGAGATCCCTCAACTTCCGGTTCTGGAGTACCACCTTGAAGATTCCTCGAACGACGTCATGGGAACCAAGGACAGGTCCGAGGTACCGACGGCGACGCTCTACGTCACTTTTGGGAGCGTCGGACCGCACCACGTGACGAGCGTCCGTCAGGACGAGCGAACAGCGAATGGCCTGGCCTCGCCCAGTGCCGCCTCCGTTGCGACCGCGGCGACTGGTGCAACTACCGCGGGGACTATGACGACTTCCGGTATACCTACGACCAGTAGTTACATGGAAACGTCCAACGGCACTTTGATTCTCATCGAGGAGGCCGTCGGGGAAATGGCTGTCGAGGACATTAGGGCCATATCCTTTCAAGTGCCATCGTCCAGAGATATCACCGACTTCAACAATGATAACGGGAATCCGAGGAGAATCAAGAGTTCGAGAAAACTTGGGGAATCTTATTCGATTGACGGAATAAGGGAGGAATCAAACCCATCGGTGGTCCAGCAAGTCAACTCGAAATCTACTAAAGCCTTTTACGAGATACGACCCTCGCTGAACACTGAGATCGACAAGGCGCATCCTAAAGGATCCTCCGCGACCACTCAAAGGACCTTCGGCAGATTCGTCCTGCCCAGCGTCGCCAGTGCCGTCGGCAAATTTGGTCCATACTTCGAGGATGAGCACGAGGAGATTAATGTCACTGCTAGAATTGGCAGTACCGTTTTATTGGATTGCAAGATTGGGATGCTGGGCGATAAGATGGTGAGATGTTTCAACTTTTTTGTTCTTTTTTTTTCTTTTTTTTCCCCCGTTCGTTCGATCCTACTGATTTATTTTTAACGAGGCTTCCACCGAACCATTGTGATGTCGCGTTTCATAAACTGGTCCAGATTGATCATCCATTAACTGTAGCTGGCAATACTTGGCTACGGAGCATGTAACAGTCCATAGGCGCGAGACAAGCTGAACTGTGCTGAACATGTCCGAAGCGACAAGGGCGAATGATCCAGACGATAAATCCAGTGCAGAGTCGATCGATCAGCGCTAGGAAAATTATTGATACCGATTGGTCCAGTTCTATTGGAAATATCCCTATACCGCACAATATCCCATTTCCCTACTGGCGCTTTTCAACAAACACCTGCAGCATCCCTTATCGATAGGTTTACCGAAATGTTTTTTTTTTTTCTCTTCAAACGTCATTCAACCTACTGACAGTTTAACGCTAGCAGGCGAAAATAAGAATTTTAGAGATTTCAAGTAAAATTTAATATTCGCGTGGTGCATCGACCTTTTTCTTTCTCGTATGAAGTCGAATGAAAGGCGCGCCTATTCCGACACTTTAAATTCCTGAGAGACCCGCGTCCCGCGGAATACAGAATAGGAAACTGAAGGAAGAAAGATGCCCGTGCGCGGCTCCCGGCGCACGAGACCAACTATTTTCGTATTTCATGTCAATTGCTGCTGGCGCCCAGTCTGCATAGGTATGAGAAAGTTTTACAGCATCCGATTTAATTGCTTCTGCTTTACCGAGGCTGCTAAGCTCCTTTGGGATAAATCTCGAGATTTTTCATCCTCCTCCTCCTCCTCCCCTAGCCCCGCCTTCAATTATGGGAAATTGAAAAAGAAACAATAGCACAGAACTTATAAATACTTCGTATATAGACAGATAAGATTTCCGGTGAAATAATATCTTTTCGTTTTATATTGTAATTTATTTACAAGCTGGTCGCACGAAAACTGAAAGAGATTTCGCTTCCTATGGAAATACGAAGGATATACGTATATATATATAGCGTTCAAATAATAGCAAACAAATATATGTATATATATGTATAGGTACAGATATATATATATATTGTAACCTTACTCGCACGATACGGTTCTCCGGATCCAAAAAGGCGGGTGCGAGCCAGACTCGACGGTTAGGAATTTAGGAGAAATATAAGGCGGAACAAATGAAAGTGAGATTTTGTTTTAAAAATTACAAAATAAAAATATATTGTCCTACAACGGAACGCGAGCAATGTCAGTGCAGGTCCAGCCTAGAGAATGCTGGATGTTAGTAAGCGAAGAATAGATATAAACGCAAGCGGAAAGTAAGAATTATTATAAATGAGATATACAAATGATTAGTGTTCGGAAAGTAAATTGTATAAATATGATTGTAAGACGCGGCTTACCTGCACGAGATGTCTGACGGGAACGGAAATAATAGGTGCGTCTACTCTCGTGTGATTCTATTTTGAGTCTAGTTGTTTTTCTATAAATAAAATATGGAATCGTGTCTGAAAGCAGCCTCCGACCAGCGGAACTTGATTACAGAGTTGACTCGTTAAAATATAAGCGTCGTGCTGCCGAGCAGTCTTCCACTAGGGAACTCGTGATCACAGGTCGACGTGGTCCTATCTAAAACAACGTTGCTATCTCGGCGAGGTGAGAGGTCTCATTCGCGAAGTAGCTGGTTGTGCAAGTATTTAAATAAAGTTAGGATCGCATGTATAACGGAAACGGCACAATGATCAAATGTATCAAAGTGACGGCCCAACTGAAATGCAGAGATTGATTCTATCTGGCAGAGGAGACGGTTTGCTCGTTTACTTTACTAAAGGTAACCTAGCTAGCTCAGCTGATAGAATGCTCGGGTCGCGAAACGTCGCTTTTTATATACCCGTGAACGGTAGGCCAGGGGGCCTGAGAGGTGCGGAAGAATTGAGCGTCGCGATGCCTACGAATTGTTATTACTTGATATCTAAGGTTGTTCGGGTTAGCGGGATCTTATTATTACCGCGATACAAATATCCTCGGATGTATACGTTACAATATATAATACACTTATGCACTTGAATATAATTTATATACTTTCAATAAAGACCTTTCAGAGTTCTGATTTAACGAAACACGTGGGTTATAATATATATATGTTCTTTATGATGTATACCTACATATGTATATATCCCTCACGAAAACTCCAGAGGGACAAAAAAAATCTTTCCTCTCATCTTCCGTTCGACCGTTCCACATTAATCTCCAGAAATACAAAAAAATATTCCTCCTCATTTATTTTCTTTATGAATTCAATTTTTCATTCAATTTCGAATTATTGCTCGCATTGTGGGCCTTTTTTTTTTTTACTTGATACAAAAAGTCAACGTAGCTACGTGAAAAAGTGGTCGTGATAATGCTAACGCGCGTGATAATGAAAATTTCGGATGAGAATAATTATAATCGATTATTGAATTTTTTTTTTTCAAAATATTCAATAACATATTGTTGCACCCTATTTTCAGGTGACCTGGTTGCAGCACACTAAGGATTCTATTAGGCTGTTGACCGTTGGCAGGAAACCATACAGCGTCGATCAAAGGATCAGCCTGAACTTTCGGTAAGTGTTTGTGAATTAAAATTTAATTAATTTTCCGTAATATTTAATCAACGTTAACCAATATCGATTTTTAAAGTAATTATTATCAGCGGAGAACAAAAAATGAAATAATTTCCTCAACCGTTCTTGTATCTTCTGGAAAACATGTAAAAGAATTTCTTAAACGACATTAATCTTTTTTGCGTTTAGCTCAGCAGTGCCGAATTTTCGTATGCACGTAGTTTTTGATCCCGGAAATGGGTCGCGCTGACAATGCACTTCCGTATCCTTGCAAAACTCATATCCGGCACTCCGGCACTACGACTTATCAGCATTGCTTCGAGTCATAAGGGCTGAGCAACAACCCAATTTCCGAAGAAGAATCTCCAAGAGATGATTTAAGAAAAAAAATCAAAAAAATCTTATCTCTTATCAGAGCCTAAAAATCTTGTCAATCTCGAGAGGTATCCTGCCGTCTCCTAAACGCTTACCGGCTACGCTATCCAGCGTCTCAGAATTTTAAAAAAAAAAAAAAAAAAAAAAAAAAAAAAAAAAAAAAAAAAAGACGAAGGGATGCTGATTTTCTTCCGAGAAATCCCTTACGGACCACTTGCAATAAGAAGTTGCAGGGCGATACCAGAATTTTAAGCAGTAACCACCTACTCCACGGAGAACTTTGCTGCAAGCGTCATGGATATTCCCCTTGTGCTTTTGAATAAGCGGAATGAAATTATTGAATTTAATTAAAAATTAATTAAAACAATTGATCTGCATTTAAAAAAACGTACTTTGCGCAAGTTTTAATTGAATTTTGAAATTCATAAATAAATAATGTCATCTGACGCCCCCCCCCCCC